CCCCGAACTGGACCGCGGGCGCAGCTCGGCGGCCGGCGGCAGACAATACGGAGGAGGGGCGCGGCCGCGCGCCCGCGCCGCTCGCCCCGACCCCTCCTCGCCTCGCCAAACTTCCCCCAACTCCGTCAACTAAGTTGTGCGCTCACCTTGCGGCTCTCGGGGCTCCCCCCGAGGGCCGAGCCGGAGCTGCTCCGCACCTTCGCCGCGGTGAAAGACAATAGACTGCCGCTCCCCCGGCGGCGGCGGCGGCGGCGGCGGCGGCGGCGGCTGAGGCGGAGAGGAGCGGGCACGGCGGTCTAGACTGAGCCCAGGCGCTTCACCGCGGCTGCTCCGGCTCGGTGCTGGCCCTGCACACAGCCCCGGCCGACCTGCGCATGCGCCTCGAGCCGCCCGGGGGTGGGCGGGGCGCCCGAGAAGGCCGTCCCGCCTCTGAGCCCTCCCATGAGTACGCGCGATTTCCAGGGCTGAGAGCCGAGATTGCAAGGCAGAGCTGCCCATCAAACTCCGTGCGACCAATGGGCAGAGGGCTGGGCGGTGTGCTCAGGTCGCTAAGGGAGGCTGAGGTTGACCGCAGCTGCTGCCAGGCGGCGAAGTGATCAAAGTCGGGTGGCTGGCAGCTGCTGCTTGTGGAAATGCCCACCCACCTTCTTCTCCCGCCCCATCTCCGGAAACTGCCCTTCCTCTGCTGCCTGCTGCACACCTGAACTGTAGCACTTGCCACACATGCTGAAATGATTTACTGTTTTCTTCCTCCCACGTCTTCTAATCAGGAAGTGGGGTCTTCTCCGGAGACTAATGTGGGAGGTTCCGCTAGGTGCGCAACAAGTGTCGCTTGGTTGGGTGGACGGCGCAGTGGTAGGAACAGAATTGTCACTGTGCATTTCATTAACTTTGGGCTCCTCGCTCACCCGCAGAATCATAGGCTTCGAGTTGCAAAAAAGACCTCAGAAATCATCTGGTGGTTTCTGAAAAGCAAAATATGGTCAGTATGCCATTGGTGACTCAGGAGATCATGTTAGTTTCTACATGAAGTCCATTGTAATGTGTATTAGGGGAAAATGCCTATCACGTCTTACCATTATTTAACTGATATCATTTCTTAGGTCAACAGAAAGTTATAGAAAAAAATGAGTTTACTTAAAGTGTTAAGTGAAAAACGGAGACATTTTATATGCAGCTCAAGGCTATGCAAGACTGAAAATAAAAGAATATGCAAGACCAATTTATAGTGATTGAAGTAAGAACAGTGCTTACCTAGGGAAAGAAGGTTATTGATTAAGGGAGAGCTGGAGGCAACCCCCTTAGGTGATGGTTCTGTGTTTTCATCTGAGTGGTGATTACAAAACTATACGTATGAAAAAACCCATCCAGCTATACACTGAAAAAATGGTGCACTTTACACATTTTAAAGGTGTGCTTTTAATGTTACTTTTTAAAAATACTGATAGCAGTTATGACAAAAAAAAGATATTGCACATGTGCAAGAGAAACCTTGATCTAAACAGTTCACTACCAATGACCAAACAAATACCTAAGAGTGGGTATCCTGAGTACCTACTAACTGTATCAGGTCCTCCCACTAGTCAAAGACTGTAAATCCTAGAAATGCTCCTACTATTGAGCTGAAATGTGCTTCTTTGTGGATAGGCCCAATTCTCGTATTAGTTCACAGAATAATAGAAACTACAGCCAAAAACACCCAGTTCTTCATGTGAAATTACTGTGTTTCCAAACCACCTCATCATGCTTTTGGTCCTCTTCCACTCAATCTAAGTGGTATGTAAAAGCTGGCACAAAGAGGGGAGACTCCTGCATCCTAGTCTTAACTGTATCACCATGAGCAAGTCATGGCTTAAAAACCTCAATCTCCTATAAAACAAGAGGACTACACACAAAATTCATTTGGACCCTAACGTTTAATAATTCCTACTCCTAAAGCCTGGCTGATCTGTTACAGAGGCTGATCTGTCATCTTTGTAGTAACTGTTGACAGTACCATCCCCTGCTCTTCACTTCACTGGGATTTCCAGGAGGCTACAGAGGGGTTGAGGAGTTTTGGCATTGTGCACCTCTCAAAAAGTTCCCTGCTGCTGCAGTTGTTGGTGTTTTAGGAGCTCACTTTGAGATGCAGGGGTCTAATCTAGATTCCCCAAACAGCTCAGCCCCTCTGTCCTCTGTAGAAAGTGCATAGCTGGTGCCTTCATATCATTCAGGTCTCACTTCAAATATCCATCCTTAGAGAAATCTTCCTTGGCCACTCTTTTTTTTTTAAGAGCATTAAATTATGGATTTCACATGAAATGGATGATACACTAGCTTCATTGCTATCTATAATTTTATCTGATACCACTATTCAATTTTGATATAGTGCATAGTTTGTGCCAAAAATCTTGGTGTTTTTTTTGAGGTTCTAAGGATTGAACTGAGGGCCTCATTCATGCTAGGCAAGAACTGTACCACTTAGCTACACACTCAGCCCAAGGATTATTTTTATAACCAAATAATTCCTTAACATTTGAGAGGTGACTCTTTCAATAATGATGCTCAGAAGGTCACAACAGCAACTGTCAGTTCAACTCTACCAAAGTTTCTAGATACAGCGACTTTCTACCCAAACAGGTTGTAAATAATTTTCAGACAAAACCTGAAATCCCCCTAAAGGAATTCTAACTTCACACTGTTGAGGAAATTTACCAAAATGGCCTCAGAATAGAATAACTTTTCACAGGACATTTTAAAAAAGACATTCAGCATCATGATCAAACTGTTACATTTAGCAATCAACACCGTAAGTACAAACAAAACAGCAGAAAACAAACCACTACTGTTCATGCAACCCTTTGTTGGAATGCTCTACACTTTCCACAGAACATGAATTAAAATCACTTCTTCGCCAGGCATAGTGCTGCATGCCTAAACGAATTGGTCCTGAAAGTGCTACTGTAATGAACCTTCAAAATGAATGTCTCTGGTATTAAAGGTTTTTTTCAAGGTACACCTAACATCTCTGTAGAGTATGCCCCACTTCACAGTCAGAAATTTCAGGTTTAATCATTTTTTCACACACCCTGTACCAGGAAAGACGTCAGGGTCCTATGAAGCAGTGGTAGGATTCTCTATCTCTCCAATTGACTTATATCTGTCCAAGAGATTTACATGCGTTATAAAACCTAAAAATATAAGAAGGATAAACCCCATTTTATAGAGTCCCCAAAAATGCCAAAGTGAAAAAACAAAACAAATACAAAAAAGTCAACAGTTGAAAGACAATCAATTTTTCTTGAGACCCATGTTCCCAAAATGTCTCCTTTTATCAAAGAAGCACTGAAACAAACTTGTCCCAGAGATTTTCTTGTGCAGTAATGAACATTTTCTTGGTTTTGTGGTAGAAATAGCATTTTGATGTTGCCTTGGGAATGCCTTTCAACCTTTTGTTTGGTATGAAGCCGACTTTACCATAATCTCAAACCTATTACCTCAGCATGTGACCCAAACCTATGCCAATCAACACACCCTATTTACAGGCAGCAGGGCTGAGTTCAGGGGTGGTGGCATGACCCCAAACATGACAGTCAGAGGCAACAGGAGTAAATTTTACCCTCCATTTGATCTGTGGGGGTCTTTCTTGATGGATCTTTGTCTGCCTTAACTAGAATCTGGAAAGATATGCCTGTTGGCCATTTTGTCACCATGAGGAAAGAATCTTTGAGAATGGAGTCAGCACAGTGGAAAGATAACATAAAGAAAAACAATCTCCTGGTGACACGGGTTGAACTGCTGAATTCAGCAGGACCTAAAGCTGGAACAATATGTAGACTTTTCAATTACATAAGCCAATAAAGTCAGTCAGTAGAGGTTTCTGTTATTTACATTCATAAAAGTTCTAATTGGTGCACCACCTATGAGGTGATGGTCTTTCTCTGCTCAATTCTCTGACCTACTTCTTTGTTCAACTAACAAATATCTGTTGAGTATACTGTGTGCAGGGCATTAGGCTCAGTCCTGGGATTGTAGGTAAACAGCAAGGTTCCTGTTTAAAGAACTCACAGTCAAGTGAGAGAAACAGGCAAACCAAAAAGAGATCAAATGCATAAGTTCCTTTAAAGAGGCAGAACAGAGAGAAGAACTTTTAGTCAGAGGGTGAAAGATCAAGGAAGGAATCTGTGTCAGCTTCCTATTACTGTGACAAAGTGCTTGAGATAAAAGGAGGAGGGGTTATTTTGGTTCACCATTTTAGAGGTTTAAGTCCTAGTACCTCAAGGCAGGAGCACATGGCAGAAGAGGCCTTTTTACTTTATGGTGGCTGGGAAGCAAAGAGAGACAGAAAGGGGCCACCTCCGAAAGGCCCCACCAACTTCCAAGCTGAGGGCGAGCCATTAACTTGTGGGCCTACAGAGCATATTCAGATTCACACAATAGCAACATCTAAGAGGATGACAGATAAGCCGGGTCTCAGAAGATAATCAGCCAGGTAGAGAGCAGTAGGATAGTAAAGGAGGCTAGGATGTGTGCACACAGGTAAGAGAGCCCCTTCCCCAAAATGCTGAAAGAAATTCAAAGGCATGGCACTATCGGAAGCACAACACACATAGGAAACTGGAGAAGCAAAAGCAGGTGAAGGAAGAGCAGCAGAAGCCCACTCATGAGTGGCCTAATATGCTCCATGCTAAGGGATTTGGTCTTTATTCTAAAAAGCAAGAGGACTTTTAAAATAATGGTGAATAACACAGCCACAGTCAGAACAGCTTTCCTCCTAGAAGGATCACCTTATCTCCAAATATGCTCAGGTTCATGGGAGACGAGGATAAGGGTGAGGACAAGAGAATTTCTAGTAGAAACCTGACTCCAGGTAAACTGCTTTAAATTTCGGAGCTGAATTTTCTTTTCTGTGGGCAGAGGGAACTCTTCGTTCTCAATGTCAGGCACGATATTTTCCAATGTATGCGAGCCAGATATATGATTCTAAATTTTCTGATAGCCAAGTTCCAAAAGTAAAAAGAAACTGGGCATGGTGGCATATGCTTGCAATTCCAGTACTCAGGAGGCTGAGACAAGAGGATCGCCATGAATTCAAGGCCAGCCCAGGCTACATAGTGAGATCTTGTCTCAAAAAGCAAAAAAGAAAAAAGAAAAAGAAAGGAAAAGAAGGGGAAGGAAAGGAAAGGGAAAAGGAAAGGGAAAGGAAAGGAAGAAGAAACAGATAATACTTTTAATATTTTAGCTGGGCATGATGATACACACCAGTAATCCCATCACTTGGGAGGCTGAGTCAGAAAGATTGTCACAAGTTCAAAGACAGCCTGGCCTACATAGTGAACTCAAGGCCACCCTGAACTCACTACATAACAAGAACTTATATCAAAAAAAAATATATGATTTTGTTAACTGTATCCCA